TAATTACGCAAACGCTCTCCCCCTCACCCCCCCCCCCCAACCCCCCTCCACACACTTTCTTTTTGTACCCAGTCAGTGCACTTGTCAATGTATCCTGTGAAGCGCTTTGAGACGTCTCGAAGATGTGATAAGGTCCTGTATCAAATGCAAGGATTATTATTATTATTATTATGACTCTTTTATTAAGTCTCTTTGAGTCTCTTATCCCTCTCTTCCCCCCCCCTCCCCCCATACCCCTGTCCCCAGAGTTATGGCATCACTTAGAGATGGCAGTCAGACAGAGCGTATATATTTATTTCCGAGAGCCGGACAACAAATTTGGCCCCAAAATCTCCTCTTGGCTTTGCTGCCTCCCTTAAGTGCCCGGGGACGTCCTCCCGACGTGAGAGGCGTTACATTACATAAATGGAATTTGTTGTTCTGGTTCGAACTAAAGCGAGAGAATGGGATGTGAGATGTTTTGAGTGCAGAGAGACATCGGGGTCTAAAGGGAAGGAATTTCCCTCCCCGCAACCGCCACCCCCCCACCAAGGGAACCGATAATCACAGTGCGCTGGCCATCAACATGGTAACTGTGACCGGGTACCCAATCGCGGGGAATAAACCTGACCCAAGCACCGATAGCCAGAAGGTCCACAACAGCCAGATCATCACAGCAACAGCGACAACAGCGTGCATTTATACTGCGCCCCCTCACACAGGACAGCGTCCCAGAGCGCTTGACAGTGGCGGAGCAAGATGCCAAGCTGGGAGGGAGGGAGGGGTGACCGTAGGCACTGGTGGAAGAGGGAGGTCTTCAGGCGTGATATGAAGATGTGGAAGGAAGGCGGAGGGAGGGATAGAGGGAGAGCGTTCCAGATTTTAAAGACGGGAGCTTTAATTCAACAACAGCAGCAGCAGCAGCTGCGCCCGTCACACAGGATAGCGCCTGGGAGCCCTGCACACTGCTGGGGTCAGACACTGCGAGAGGAACATCTCAAGTCCTACCTCTTTGATCGTGCCTTTGGCCCACATCTCCCACTCCCTTACCCGCCACCCCTCTTTATTCCAACCCCACTCCCCCTACCCTCCACCCCCACCCACCCACTCCCAGTGTCTGTGTCTCAGCCTCAGTGTGTCTCCCTTGCAGTTACTCTCTTTGTCTCAGTCTCTCTCTCTCTCTCTCTAAATTCCACTCAGACCCGGGGGTTTCTGAATGGAAGACTTACTTCATGAATACTGATTCTCATTAAGCAGGGAAACAAATTATTTCCGAGTCTGAGGGAGAGGGATTAACGTCAGTGTAATTAAAAGACAAGATCCCCTTGAATTCCTTTTCTTGACATGGAGATGATGAGGGTCTTTCAGGAGACTGATTAAAGGGGAAAGGTCAGGTATTTAACTTGAGGGAGATAGTATTTAGGGATTAATGTAGGGCCTGACTTACTCTGAGACTGTGACGTGTTCTGTTGTGAATAGTTCTCTCAAACTTCCTTTAAACCCCCGTCCCTCTCCATGACCTCCCCCCCCCTTCCGTTTGGGACACCCAACGGTTAAGATTTCGCCCACAAATCACAGTCACTCCACTTCTCACGTTCTGTGAAGCGTTGAATTAAAGAGGAGGTTCGAAAGAGTCATAGCACGACGACGATGACAACAACAACAACTTGGATTTACATAGCACCCTTTTAACAGGTTGCGTCTCGGACGGCGTAGAGCCATCAGCCTTGACTGTGTGAGTTTAAAAGTCCCGATGAGGGAGGGGGCGAGAGCGCGACCGACTGAGCCCCAGAGCCAGGCCGACACCCCAAGCGGGTAACCCTGGGCGAGCGTTGGGGAGGGAGTGCGGGAGGTTAGATGCCAGGCAGCTTGGTCGAGGGGAGTGAGGAGAGTCAGAGACACAGGGCACGGGGCTTGGGCTGGTGGAGCATCTATCAGTACCTGCCTCGTACAGAAGGAGCACTTTGCTCTGTGTGCGGAGCCAGTCCTGATGGTGCCGGACTCTATTGAGAGGGATAAATAGCGAGGAGGCTAGAGTAGAGCCGGGTGGGGGGGTTTGAGTTACTGTTTCGGGGGGCGGGTGGGGTGGGGGGGGAATTAACGTCAGTGTAATTAAAAGACAAGATCCCGGGGCAAACACAAGGATTATTACTAGTAGTATTTTCTCATCGAACTGGTCTCCTGTGTCAGTGCGTGTTGTCCGCGATTGTACCCCCCTAGTTATGGACAAGCTCCCCCCACCCCCTACCCCCTCCTCTCTCTCTCTCTCTCTTTATCTCTCTCTCTCTCTCTTGCTCTGGCTTTTTCTCTCTCTCTCTCTGTGTTTGGAGAGCGGGGGCTTCTGACAGTGTCTCCTCTCAGTCTAACCTGCCTCCTGTGACCTGCATGTAGATCTGCAATGCGTGGATAACACAGTCACTTACCAGGCAGCGGCACAGGATGTAGGACACAGCCTGAACCCAGGAGAATTGCCTGATGCTCTCTCCCTTTCTCTCTCTCTCTCGCTCACTCACTCGCTCGCCAGACAGCCTGGCCTACTTTAGCAGCCCACTTCTGCTCGAGTTACAGCTGCACAAAACACACGCATCCCCCCTGGAACTCCACCCCACCCCACCCCATCCCACCCCCGTGTGGGGTAAGGAAACTTGACCAACATTTCGCCCCCGCCCGCCCGGGAATCGAACCCCACTCCCCAACGCCTCCGCTGTTCAGGTGAGCACACCGTCCGGCCTTTGAAATGTCCCGAGCGACACAAGGGCGAATGAAGTGGGGTGAAACGTGGAGTTAGCTCTCTGCCCATCTGTGCTCTCTGCTGATCCCCACCTCCCCCCCACCCCACCAACGACCAGGGCTGAGGCTAATCCTCACCCTCCGCGCTCCCTGTACCGAGAAGCCAGACGTTTCCTGGTACGTGTCCCAACGGTTCTTGGAAAGATGGTGATTGAGGCGAAGGGTCAACATTTAAGTGAATTGAAAGGAGGGTTTGGCCTCCCGCCAGGACCCGAGATTGTTTGCTATTGAGTTTCTTAAAATACTTTGTTGTTAAGTCTGTTACGCCAATGGCCGCCCTGGTGAAGCTGGCGTGAAATGAGGAATTGGTTGTGTTGGTAAATGAACGCAGCCCTTAGGCTCTCACCACGACCCCCACCAGTCAATACGTCCAAGTAGCTCAGTGGTTGGAGCCCTCGCCTCACCAGCCAGAGGACCCGGGTTTGATTCCCGGCCGGAACAGGGAGCAACCTTAGGCAAGTTTCCTTACTCCCCGCTCACACGCCCACACGTACTCCGTTTACCCAGCAGTACGTAGGAACCCAATTGGCGGATGGCTTTTCCGGGGGTAAAAGAAAAAGAAAAAGAAAAAAAAGAAACAAAATAATAATTTGGTCGCTCAATTTCACGACTGTTTGTGGGACACTCTTGCGCGCAGTTAATTGGCTGCCGCGTTATAGCCACTAAATACTTTGCAGTCTATCCCGTGAAGCCCTGTGAGACGCCTTCAACAATGTGGACAAGGCGCTGCATCGATTACGAGGATGATTCTAATGGGTTCATCGTCAACAGCAACAACAACAGCTCACACTTACATAGCATTCCTCACGTGGGGTAGCGTCTCAGAGCGCCTGACTCCAAGTCTCTCTCACCATCTCGACTTAAAGCCAAGTTGATGTCTCGGCTACTCTTTGACTGTGATACACTGTGACGGACACAGTCTTGAGAGAGAGCGAGAGAGAGAGAGAGGGAACGAAGCCGACAAATGAAGCGAAAGTGGAGATAATTTGGATATTTGCATAATAATTTCCTTATTAATATGCAAATTCTCATCGCCCAGCAACTCGCGAGGATTTAGTGATGACCTTTTTTTCCCCTGCGCCTGTTCATCCAAATGTCAAGTGTTCACAATGTCAGGATCCGAGGTCTGTAATCTGGTTAATATTTACCAGCTTTCGTGTCGGCTTTGATTAGATTTACAGGGACTATACTGGTCTTTGTGAAGGAAAGTGCTTGCCGTTCCTCCGCTTAGGTTTTTTTTTCTCTCTCTGACTTTATCCAACCTCCCGTTCCTCACTCAATAATAATAATAATAATAATAATAATAATAATAATATTAATAATAATAATCCAAGCATTAGATACGCGCCTAATCACTTTGTCGATACGTCTCTCTCAAAGCGCTTGACAGGATACACTGCAAAGTGGAGTGGCTGTGTGTTTTGTGGGCGGAATAGTCTGACAGGTTGACTAAGACCTGGTGGGATTTCGAGTGGGGGCGCGGGGAGGAGGGGAGGGAGGGAGCCTCTGAGTAATTGATGACAGAATTTGTTTTGAAGTAGTTATTTTTTTCCTGTGTATGTGTGTGTGAGTGTGAGGGGCCGAGAATCATTTCTCCCCCCCCCCAACTCCGCTCTCCCCACCCCCCCCCCCTCCCCCTCACCCTCTCTCCCCCCTACTGGCTCCCAACCGCTGCTGTGTGTAAAGGTTAATTGAATTGCATGGAGGATTAGAGTCACGGTGACTCATTACTGGCTGCTCAGTATTCAATCGGTGTTGTATCACGATTCCTAGAGCCCAGAAGACGGGTTGTTGACGGTTTCACCTGCACCAGGTTTCAGCCCCTACGCCCCGAAAGTCCGGAACTCTCTCCCTCAATCCCACCGCCTTGCCTTGCCCCCTCCCCTCCCACTTTCAAATTCCCCCCCTTAAAGACCTTCCTTTTTGATCGTACTTTCGGTCACCTCCCCCCTCCCTCCATCCCTCCCTCCCTCTCCCCCCCCCTCCCTCCCTCCCTCCCTCCCTCCCGCGCTTTACAGTATATCCTTATTATGTCTTTGAGATGTTTCAAAGCGCTTCGCAGAACGTACCGTAAAGTGAAGTGACTGCGTGTTTTGTGGGCGAAATTATTATTATGGGGTCCTGCAGCGTATTGGTTGGAGGGGACCTGGGTTCGGTTCCGTGATAAGGCGCTATATCAACTGTAAGGATTATGATGATGATGATGTTGATGTCCCCTCTCACTCTCCCAGCTATGGGGATATGGTACCTAAGACCATCGCTGGTAAGATCTTCGGGTCTATCTGCTCGCTGAGTGGGGTCCTGGTGATCGCTCTTCCCGTCCCCGTCATCGTCTCCAACTTCAGCCGCATTTACCATCAGAACCAACGGGCAGATAAACGTCGGGCACAGAAGGTGAGTCTCCGTCACTGCCCGGTCACTTGCTCCAAGGGGCCCTGAGGGTTATCCATTCACATTGTCCAGCCTGAGGTGGAGAGATGTTTGTCAGCTCAGGGGATCAGGGAATTATGGGGCAAAGGCGGGTAAGGTACAGATCAGTCATGGTCTAAAAGAGTGGCGGAACAGGCTCAAGGGGCTGAATGGCCTCCTCCTGATCCTATCCCGGCCTCAGAGACGTGAGAGCTCGAATTCTACCTGCTCTTAGCCCAGTGCAGTGCTGGGGGGCAGTGCTGCATTGTCAGAGGTCCTGTCTGCCTGTTCAGGTGGACATTAAAGATCTCTTGGACTGTTTGAAAAGAGAAAGGAGTTTCTTTCTCTCTCTCTCTCTCTCTCTCTCTCCGGTGTCCTGGCCAACAATCCCCCAGATAGAAATTGGTCCCTCAATCCACGGCTGTTTGTGGGACATCGCTGGGCACAATTGGCTGCCGCTTAGTCACTACACTTTACGGTGTATCCTGTGAAGCGCTTTGAGACGTCTCGACGGCACGATAAGGCGCCGGGTCAAATACAAGGATTATTATTATTATTATTATTAAAGGGAAGGTCTTTCATTTTTTGACCCCAGAAAGCCAGGTTGGCCCGCATCAAGATAGCAAAGACCGGCAACTCTAATGCCTACCTACAGGTCAAACGCAACGGCCTGATGAACGAGGCACTGGACCTCACGGTGAGTTCTCCTTTACGCTTTGGTCTCCCTCCCTCCCTCGCCTCTCAGTCTCGGTTGACGTTCCAGTTCAGTGCTGGGGGGAGAGCGCTGTGATGTCAGAGCTGCCGTCCTTTTCGGGTGAAACGTTAAACCGAGGTCCTGTCTGCGTGCAAATTGGCTTAACCTACACAACACTCGGTCACTACGGCTTGACAGTAAACCCTGTGCTAGAGCTTGCAGACGTCTCGAGTACCGTGACGATGGCGAGGATTCTAATGATTAATCTGTGGTGGGGTGGGGGTTGGTGGGGGTGGTGGTGGGGGGGCGGTGGGGGGGAGGAGGTGGGGGAAGGGGCTCCCGCGAAATTTATTTTAATTGAATTCATAAAATAAAGAGGAATCGTCCTCGGGGCCGTTGAACGAATGAACGAACGGGATTTGATTTTTCCTTCTCGCGGCTGCAGGATTGCGGTGATAAGGAACAGCAGCAGAACATGAACAAGCCGGGCTCCAACATCGCCAGACAACACCACCACTTACTGCACTGCTTAGAAAGAACCACGGTACGTCCCTGAGGACCCGGGTTCGATTCCCGGCCGGCCGGGTAAAACCTTAGGCAGGTTTCCTCACTCCACGCGCACACACGCACGCACACACACACACGCACACACACACACGCACACACGCACACACACACACGCCTCTGTTTATCGAGCTGTAAGTAGGAACCCGGTTGTTAGTTGATTGGCGGATCGCTTTTCCAGGGGGGTAATAATCCCTCCAAAAATAATAATAATTTGATCACTCAACCCACCAGTGTTTGTGGGGACGGCGCTGGGCACAATTGGCTGCCCGCCTTTCGCCCGCGAAGTACACACAGTCACTCCACGTTACATTACATCCTGCGAAGCGCTTCGTGACGTCTCAACAAAGTGATCAGGTGCTGTATCGGATGAAAGGATTATTATTATTATAAAAAAGTTTCAACCGCAAAAATACGACGTTGATCATCAGGTGCTTTGACCTCTTTATTTCACGAGGACCAACAATTTCCTGTGTGAGGCTGTTTTCTCTCTCCCTCAAGCCTATTAAGGTCTGTTTTCTCTGAACAAAGAATTTCAGAGCTGCTATAAAATGGCCTGGAAATGTTCTCAAGGGAGAAGGGCCCTTCCCTCCCTGACTAAATGGTTCCTGATTCAGTTTATTATCTTCTATTCTTAGGTTTTTGTAAGATATTAAAAGCAGGGCAGACAGGGAAGTCAGGGCTCTCTGCGACTGAGAGTGGAAGCTTTATAATAATAATAATAATCCTGGCGTTTAATACAGCTCCTTATCACGTCTTTGAGACATCTCAAAGCGCTTCACAGGGGCGTGTGTGTGTGTGTGGGGGGGGTGGGGGGGGGTAAGGAAATCTGCCTAATGTTTTGCTCTGCCCGGCAATCGAACCCGGGTCCTCTCGCTTGCGAGGCGAGCGCTCTAAATTAAATTAGCTTTTGGTACTAAGCGCACGTTAATTTCACTCAAACTCCCCCGAGCTCCCGTCTGCCCGTCTGTACCAGAGGGATGTTATTCCGGGTGAAGTTGCTTTGTCAACGGCAGTCGTCGTCGTCGTTTTTCTGTAAGTGTATTTCGCCGTTTCTTTCAGGGATTGGCTTACCTCTTGGATGATCCGCTCTTAACCATTCGAACGTCAAGCTCCATTAAGGTATTTCCCTCTTTCTTTACGAGCTGACTCTGCGTGTGTGTGCGTGCGTGTGTGTATATGCTGTGTGTGTGTGCGTATATGTAGTTGTGTGTGTGTGTGCGTGTGCGTGCGCGTGTCTGGGTCAGTGCGCTGGTGTGTGTCTGCACGTCGGGCGAGTTTCCTTACTCCTCACTCCTCTGCTTACTCAGCGATGAGTAGAAACCTGGTTGTTAGTTGATTGACTGATCGCTTTCAGGGGCTAATAATCCCTTCCCCCACGGAAAAAAAAAAAATTGTTCACTTCAACCCACGGCTGTTCGTGGGCACAATTGGCTGCCGCGTTTCGCCGGCAAAACGCACAGTCACTACACTTCTCAGTATATGCCGTGAAGAGCTTTGAGAGGTCTGGAAGCCGCGATGAGACGCTGTGTCAAGTGCGAGGATTATTATTGGTATTTTCTTTCCTCCTCAGAACCACGAGTTCGGGGACGATCAGACGTTGGAGGGGAACTGCCTCGAGGGATCGCTGAGGAACTGCCCCACGTCCCGAAGCCCGTCCATGTCCTCGGGGTCCGCGCAGGGCAGCGTCTGCTGTAGCCGCCGGGGCAACAAGAGAACGTCCCACCTGCCCAATGCCAGTGTGTGCACGGCCCATCTACACAGCATGCAGGAGCTCAGCACCATCCACATCGGGGAACAGGCCTCCTCCATCACCAGGTAACACGCGCACACACCAGCGCACACAAACACAGGCGCACACACACACAACCGCGCGCACACACACACACAACCACACACACACACACATACAACCGCACAAACACGCGCACCCCCCCCCCTCTCTTGCCTCCTTTCAAGACCCATCTCAAGACCCTCCTCCGCAAACCGTACCTATGGTCATCCTCCCCCCATCCCCCCACCTCACCAACCGCCCCCCCCCCCCGCCCCCCATGACAGAGAACACCAAATGGTGGAACAAACAGATCCGGCGACGGTTTGGCTCACGGGAAATTGTTAATGTTGTTAATAAAATATTGATAAGTTAATATTTGAGATGATCATTTAACCTGATTCCCTCCTGCGCCCCCACCCCCACCATCCACCACCACCAACACCCCCCCACACCACCAACACCCCCCCACACCACCAACACCCCCCCACACCACCAACACCCCCCCACACCACCAACACCCCCCCACACCACCAACACCCCCCCCACCACCAACACCCCCCCACACCACCAACACCACCCTCACACCACCAACCCCCCCCCACACCACCAACAGCCCCCCACACCACCAACACCCCCCCCACCACCAACACCCCCCCCACACCACCAACCATTGGCATTGTGCAGTTAATGAACAATTATGGGTGTTTGGTGCAGAGTAACTGTGCTGCCAATTATTAACGAGGAAACATCAAACATTAATGAGTATTGTGCTGTTCAGCTAATGCACTGACTGAGCTCTCCCCACGGTGACAGCTCCGCGATCCTTATCCCTTCTGACAACTCCCCGACCCCTTATCTTTCTAAAATATAGCGCGGATTCCCCCGTAGCTCAGGGGGTAGTGCCCTCACCGAGTGTCACAAGCGGATTCGATTCCCGGGCAGGACAGGGCGAGACCTTAGGCAAGTTCCCTTACTCTCCTCTCCACACACACACACACAGACACACAGACACACGCAGACACACACACACAGACACACACACACACACACACACATACAGACACACACAGACACACACACACGCCTCTGTTTACCAGCAGTCAGTCGGAACCCGGTTGTCTGTCGATTGGTGGATCACTTTCTGGGGGTAATAATCCCTTTAAAATAAATTTGACCACTCAACCCCAGCTGTTTGTGGGGACACTGCTGTGCACAATTGGCTGCCGCGTTTTGCCCACAAAACACACAGTCACTACACTTTAAAGTATATTCTGTGAAGCGCTTTGAGACGTCTCAGCGCTGTGATAAGGCGCTGTCTCAAATGCAAGGATTACTATTACTGCTATTACTATTGTTACTATTACTATTTTTATTACAATTATTGCTATTATTGTTATTACTATTATTTTTATTATTACTGTTATTGTTACTATTGTTGTTATAATTACTGTTATTGCTGTGTCACGCTGAGGGTGTGTTACTCTCTGTTCCCAGCCAGTCGAGCCTGAACGACAAACCAGACGATGGGTCGCGGACAAACTGCAGGAGTTCGCAGGTCACCACCGCGATCGTCAGCATGGCCATGCCCACCCCGCAGGGCCCCGGCCCCGCCCCAGAGGGAGGACCCCGCCCGCTCGGCCCGGGACAGCCGTCCATCATCGCCACATGCAACGTGGTCAAGGTCTCCGCGTTGTGAGACCAACCGATTAGCCGGTGCCCACAGTCACGTGGGAAGGCGATGAAGGGGTCTGTACTGGTCTGTTCCGTTCTGCGGGCGATCGATTGAACGATTGATCGATTGGTTAATTGATCGGGGTGGGGTGGTGGGGGTGGGGTGAGTGTGGGGGCGAGAGCATAGGGACTGTGCCCCAGGCGATGGAGGTGAGCGACTGGGGGTGGGGGTGAGGGGAGAACGAACGACAAACGATACCCTTTTCTCCACTATATTCCTCCTCCATTTTTTACTCCGTCGAGACCCAACGTTGAGATCATTCGAGGATCCGTCAGTCTCGACCGATGACTGAGACGGTAAAAATAGCCGTCCCCCAACCCCCCCCAACCCCCCCACACAAACCACAACCTGCCACTCCCCCACCACCACTCCCCCCACCACCACCACTCAAAGACAGGACCAAACATGGGGTGGGGGGGGAGGGCTTGACAGTGACCCACTCCAGCAGCGACGTCTCTCTCAGTGAAGGATAATATTTTATGTTGAACTGAAGATCTGCCAATGGAGAGAGAGAGAGAGAGAGAGAGAGGAGAAGAGAGAGAAGAAGAGAAGAGGAAGGAGCACTTGATAGTTTCTTCGCTGGAAGAATATTTTTTAACGGAAAAAGAAACACACGCACACGCACAGGGGGGATAAAAAAGTCCCCACACGCAACATGTTATCGTCATGTGATTTTCGAACACGTTTGCTTTTAGCTCGTTACACGGGGAAGTGGGGGTGGGGGGGAGGGGAGGGGGAAAGAGGGGGTGTTACACTCTCCGCCCCTCGGGGGAAGCGGGGGCATCTCCGCTGCCTTTTATTTAACGGACGGACGAACAGACAGTGGCTTGAGCTTCATTCTGAGACTGGGTTTTGTTTTACATGCTCTGCCCCTCCTTAACACCCCTACCCCCCCCCCTCAATCCCCTCCACCACCCACCACCCACCACTTTGACAGCCCTACACCCTGCCCCTCCCCTCCCTTCCCCCGTGACACCCTAAAACCTGTCTTCATTATTCTCCCCCCGTCTCCTTCCCCCTTTCCCTCCCTCTCCCCTCCTCCCCCTCCTCCACACCCTCTCCCTCCCCCCTCCTCCACACTCTCTCGCTCTCTCTCTCTCTCCCTCCCCCCCTCCCTCCCCCGCCCTCTCCGACTCCCGTGTTTCCCCCTTGAACATGACCAGATGTTGGGAGGCTGTGGCTCAGTGTAATGCCTCTGCTTCTATGACTGCACCCGCTGAACACTGCGCTGACGGGCTGACGTGCACAGTCCCTGTATTTGAACACGACGACGGCCAACACCCCCACGTTATTGTACCATTTATCTGTGAAATGTGCCTAGACTTGAGATAGCACCGCTTCGCGTCCTGTGATTTTACTCTGAACTTTGTGCGTTTTAACCGTGTTTTTTCTTTTTATTTCGTTCCTTCGTTCGTTCGTTCGTTACTTTATTAACTTCCGTCGTTTATTTATTATTTTTCCTGATGAATTAACGGGATCTTCTCCCGCTGGGAGGGACCCCGGGCTGGGAAAGGGTGGAGAAAGGACATTCTGAGTTCCACCTGATGGCAACTCAACGGGGAAAAGCGGCATTTGGAAAAGTGCCTACACTTGTATTATCATGTGTCAGAACGTCTCTGTATTCACACTGCACTCAGAGAGCTTAATAAACCTCATAGTAGTCAGATATTTTCAATGTCACAGAGTGTCATAAGTACCTGTTTGTTACGGTTATTGAGGCACCGGTTCTTGAGATGGTCAACGGGATTGAGAAAATAAACCCGGACAATACTGTCCTGTCAAGTGCAACCAAGACAACGGGACAAGAGGTTATGATTTTACAGAACAGGCTCGAGGGGCTGAATGGCCTCCTGCTGTTCCCCTGTGTCCAGGTCACATGTCCATAGGTGTGAGGAACAGAAACCAGGAAGTATTTCTTTCCGCAGAGAAAGAGAGTAGTTAACAGCTGAAACACGTTGCCTGGAAGGGCGGGCGACTGAAGCCGGAACATGAGACTCATTTAAGAAACTGCTCGATGCTGCGATGGGTGGATGGTCAGGTGGGGATTCTGCAGGGATGAGATCAGATGAGGCAAAGAGTCTTCTTCCAGCACCTTGGGATTTCCTCCCGATGTGAAGGCGCTAGACAAATGTAATTTATTACTATTATTATTATTATTATTATTATTCATCTGAACCAATCTTGTGATTGTGCCTGTGTCGGAGGGAGATTTCTGTGAGAATTGCGTAAACTCCAGACAGTTGGTGCTGCCTGTTTGATCATCGCGATAGCAGACCTGTTGAAGCGATTTGGAGATTGTGAGAGGACTTGGCGTTAAAGTGAAGCAGAGACTTGTTACTGAAGGAGCCGCAAACTGAACTGTAAGTACGTCTCGTCATCAACTCATGGTCTAGCCCGTCACCTGGTGGCCACTGGGATTAATTCACCGACAGCCAAACACTGGACCAATTGCTCGCAACAACACACGCTCACTGCTGATGACAGCACAGCCCGGCCTGGCTCCTCGGGGGGACAGGGGGGAGTTTCACACTATTGGGTGAAATTCACACGCCATCAATGTGCAAAACTCGCTCCTTCATTTGGACAGGAAGAGAGACGGTTTTACTCTGGTGGGTGTGTGGGTCGGTAATAATCATAATAATCCTTGTATTTTATACAGCGCCTCATCACGTCTTCGAGACATTTCAAAGCGCTTCACAGGATACACTGTAAATTGACTTGAGTGTATATTTTGCGGGCGGTAACCAGCGGACACAGATTTAAGATGCTCGGCAAACGAACCAGAGGGGAGACCAGACGAAGGTAAAAAAAGATATACGGAGAGTTGCTATGGTCTGGAACGCACTGTCTGAAAGGGTGGAAGCAGATTCCAGGGAATTGGACAGGTGCTTAAAAAGGAAAAATTGTGCAGGGCTATCAGGTAAGACTGGGGGTGGGACTGGTTGGTAGATCAATCATGATGGGCCGAATGGCCTCCCTCTGAGCTTTAAGATTCCGTGGTGCTATTTCTACTTCGAGAGCACTTTGAACAGAATTGGATTAAATTGGCAGAGATACGGGGAGTTGGGGGAATTAGGAGTGGGTCGATGTTCTTGTGGAGTATAGATTGAAAATAAATCGCGTTGCAGTGAAGCTCCCAGGTTCCTAAACGAGAAATCCCGGTTGAAGTGAGAATCTCTGCCAATCAAAACCCGAAAATCTTTGCCGTGTTCCGCCCACAGAAATAGTCAATGAATTCGCTTTACAGTCTATTCTGTGGAGCCCTTTGAGGCGTCTCGAAGACGTGATAAAATCCTGTATCAAATGGCCAGGATAATTATTATTATTGTTCATTTGCAGAGTTAATGTCTTGGGGGGAGGTTGGGTGTGGAGGGTGCGACGGGGCTCTGCTGGCTCCGCCGCACCCTCTACCGGATGAATGTGGCATCACAGCATGGTCTTTCACTGTTGTCTATTGGGCACTTCAAGGTAAAGTACCTGTGGAAAGGAAGATAATTGCAGTGCGTGAAGTAGGACAAGGCAAGGTCAGCCTGCTGATGGTGGCTTCAAGAGCAGGAATTAACAGGATGCCGAGGGGGAGCTCACATTGCTCGCCGTGTACTGTGTCAACAGGGGCAGAGTTACTGCAAAGCAACAGCAGCAACAACCAAATTACATTTGTACGGCGTCTTTCAGGTCGGGAGGACGTCCCGAGGCGCCGGGAAACATAGAATTCAAAAACATGGAATCTTACAGCACAGAAGGAGGCCATTTGACCCCTCGTGCCTGTGTCGGCTCTCTTTGAAAGTGCTACCAACGAGTCCCACTCCCCACCCCCCGCCCACTCTCACCCCATAGCCCTGCACACTTTTCCTCGTTTGGCAAATGGTTTCAGGATCGTCCTGAGATATCCTGAGTCCTCACGCAAATGTCTTCGGAATACCTACAAACTCGAGCGGGAAGGGATACCCCATCTCTCCCCCTCCCTCCTCCACACACACCACTCACTCACTCACACACACATTCACACACACTCACTCTCACACACACTCACACACGCACATTCACACACTCACTCTCACACACTCACTCACTCACACACTCACTCCCACACACTCACTGCGTCATTTCAGTGTTTAAAACCCAGATTTTAAGTACCTACTAAATACCCTTTCAAAAGGGAATTGGACAGGGACTTAAAAAGGAAAAATGTGCAGGGATATGGGGTAAGAGCAGGCGGGGGAGTGGGACTCGTTGCGAGCTCTTTCAAAGAGCCGGCACAGGCACCAAGGGCCGAATGGCCTCCTTTTGTGCCGGAAGATTCTCCGATTCTCTGAACCTATGTGCTGTTTTTAGTGAATTATGTAAATATCACATAGTAAACGAGTCAGCCAGAGAGGACCATTGATTGCTGATTACTCTGGTGAACTTTGTGTCATGATTCAAATCAGGCATTTAATGGCTGATTAACCTTCTTGGGGTGATTCCGCCTCTTTGAAAGGGCGATTCCTCATAGCAATCAGCTTTGTGAGGTGAGGATGGAACGTTAAAGCCCAGTAAAGACCAAGGCTTGTCGGCCATCATCCTGTCACCTTTCACCACAGTCGGTGTCTATAATAATAAATAATAATCCTTGCATTTATGTGTATATTTAAGGGGAAGCTGGAGAGGTACATGAGGGAGAAAGGAACAGAAGGTTATGCTTAAAGGCTTAGTTGAGGAAGGGCAGGAGGAGGCTCATCTGAGCACAAACACTGGCCTAGACCAGTCGGGCCGAATGGCCTGTTTCTGTGCTGTAAATGCTAATGGATTCTAATGGATTTGATATAGCGGCTTATCACATCTTTGAGATGTACATGTCCATGTCCAGCCACCCTCCAGTGCTAACCCCATGGTATAGAGGAGATCTGTAGAGCAGTGGTTAGAGCACTCGCCTCGTAAGCCTTGTGGGACGCCTCTGTGCGCAATTGGCTGCCGCGTTTCGCCCACAAAATACAGTCAATTCACTTTCCAGTGTATCCTTTGAGGCGCTTTTAGTCGTCATTAAGACCTGATAAGGCACTGTATCAAAGGCAAAGATTATTATTTATTACAGCACTTCTAAGGAGTTGCTTCAGCACGAAAGGCGCTCACTAAATGCAAGTTGTCGTTGGTTTACAGACTCTCTCCTGCCCTCTCTCTCTCTCTCTCTCTCCCTCTAGCCTGTGCCATGTCCTGAATGATGCCATTTCATTCTCTTCGCAAGACAACAAGGTTGGTTCTGAAGAAGGCCCTTCGGCCCATCTGATCGCATTGCTCAAGAACGTCCGCCCGACCGTCCTCCCCTCACAGGGTCGGTTTCAGTTCCCAACCAGTTCCAGGCATCCCTGGTTTTGGTGTCAGAACCTCTCGATAACAGCGCGAGTTGACTGCCTCCCATCACTGTTGTCCTTTCTGACCCACTCGAGAGGCAGTGAGGACACGAGCTGATCTCATCACCCTCATTACCAGGTCCTCTACTAGACACACACTGAACTGCATTTAATTATAATGAGGCAGTGGAACATAATCAAGTCACTGGCTTGAGTTCCCATTAATTTAATTGAATGATGTGTAATTAAATAGATGTGCTTCATAAATAGACATACATAACATGTTATAAACGTACCTTAGAAATATCATCAATAAATACACGTTAACACAATAGAACGGAAGCTTTATTAATAATACTGTGAAAGAAGTTTAATTAAAATGATTCAATTAATAACATTCCTGGGACATGATTGGACATTAACTCATGTTAACTCATGTAACAAATCAATGTTACGAGAAGATGGACTAACCGTTTGCATCGGTAATAAATTAAACGAATAGTGCTTACGTTCTTGGTGCCATTATAATTAATACAATACGATTATAATTAAATCAACACATATTTACAAACATATTCTGGCTCAAACGCTAGACAGCGGAGTGAGCAACCCGGATGATTTAATGGAGAGGTGAGCATTTCTTCAATTTAGCCCAGTTTAAGTGTTGGCTGTTAGGGGATGCTGTGGAACACAATCTCAACCCACACCCCAGCACAAAGCTGCTCCGAATCTGTCAATTTATAATAATAATAATAATAATCCTTGCATTTGATACAGCGCCTTATCACGTCTTCGAGGCTTGAACTGTAAACTGCGGTGACTGTGCGGTTTGTGTGGGCGAAACGTGGGCAGCCGATGCACAGCAACATCCCGCTCTCAGCCATTGAGTGAACGACCAATTTTATCTGGAAGATTGTCGGTCAGGATACCGGAGAGAGAGAGAGAGAGAGAAACCCTCTCCCTCTTCCCTCCTTCCCTCTCTGCCTCCAAAAAGGCTTTTGCGTAGGCAAACAGTGCCCCAGATACTCTATACCGGGCGGAACCCAGCAACAGACTGGAACCAGACTCCCACAGAGCTGGCAACGTGTTCAGGGCCAACAACAAGAGGCTCTGAATGGTTCAGATCCGTATTTGTCATTTCCCCACTTGATCGTCAAAAGTAATCGGTGGACGAGGTGCGTGGGTTGTGTTTGCTCGAAGCCCTGCGAGTGACAGGTGTGTCAAGCAGACAGTCAGACCCCCCCCCTCCCAGGAGTGGGAGGGGGAAGGCTATGTATAGACGTCAATTCAAACGCAGCAACCAGATGGTGCTTTTTGCCCCCCTCCCTCGTCTCCCCTCCACCTCCCCCCCCCACCACCACCACCAGCTCCCAAAAGATTTTTTTTATCACAAGAAACCGCACGTTAAAAAAAAAATTGTGTTAGAATCCATGAGTAATTATAGGCTGTTATATCTAATATCTGGAACATAACCAGCTTTCATTACAGTAAAACAGCTCTGCCCCACATTTCGTTATATAAACAGAATTGCAGAATCTCGCGGTGAAAAGCAAAGGCCACTTTACTTTGCCCTAATTCACGGTTACAGGGTTATGTGGCGTCCTGTAGCTCAGTGGTTAGAGCAATCGCCTCGCAAGCGAGAGGACTGGGTTTGATTCCCCAGGAGGGCAAAAGGTTTGGCAGGTTTCCTTACTCCGCACACACGCCTCTGTCTACTCAGCATTTCCCCACGAAATATACAGTCACTTCACTTTACAGTATATTCTGTGAAGCATTTTGAATAAGGCGCTAATATTAATAATAATGTTAATACTTGCATTCGACATAGGGCCCGATCACATAACTGAGACGTCTCAAAGCGCTTCACGGAACGGACTTCGAGTGTAAAAAATGCGACGCAATAAATTCATCTCACGAAGAAATGAAAAATAAACTTATGGTATTTTTTATTGCACCTCAACATCGAACGGCTTCAGCGCGCCTGATCGAAATTTCTCTCGTCAGTGATTGTTTTTTTGCAGATAAACGAGAGCCGGGAATTTGCCCCACGGAATGCTGTCCAGAACACTGGGAGAAACTCTCTTCTCTTTTCCAGCAGCGTCACAGGTATGTTCCACACACACACACACACTGTCGAGACGGTATCTGGGGTTAACGCCTCATAATAACATAATAATAACCCTTGCATTTGATAGGGCGCCTTATCACGTCCTCAGACGTCTCAAAGCGCTTCACGGGATATACCGTAAAGTGTAGTGACTGTGTGTTTTGTGGGCGAAGAAGGAAGGCACCTCAGACACTGCAGCGTCCATGTCCTTCCCCACACACGCGCGAACATACACACCACACGCACATACACACTCGAGCGTCAGCGTGGACTGTGAGCTCACACAACATATAGTCCATGTGCGTGTGCGTGTGCCCTTCATATGACAGTCAGCAGATCAAGCGCTGTCCTGTGTGTGACAGCCAATGGTACAGAGCGTTAGGTAATGCAGACGCCCTTTACAGTAAGAGGCACTTGAGTGTAGTTTGAGGGTGAACGTGAAGGGAGAGAGGGAGCGAGGCGAGAGGGATTGGAGGGAGGGAGGGAGAGAGAGGGGGAAGAAGGGATTGGAGGGAGGGATGGGAGGGAGGGGGGAAGGGAGGGTGAGAGGATTCCCATTGCAGTGGAGCTCAGACTCGGCTGAACAGTCCCCGTCAGTGCTGTCTGACCCTGGTGACAATTTGCTGGATCTCAGCGTGAAAATGCTGGTTGACCACCGTGTAAACGAAGGGATTGACAGCCGCAGGGACACAGGTCAGGGCCACGGCCAAAGTCTCCAACTCCAAGAGCAACGGGTCCTGGAAGGGAAGAAGAGAAACAAAGGGTTCTGTTAGAGCAGAGATCTCCTGCCACTACATTACAAGAGGCTTTTCTTTCTCTCTCTCTCTTTTTCTCTCTCGCCTTCTCTCTCTTTCTCTCTCTCTCGCCTTTATTTTGAAGCTTTCTTTCATTCCCATAGCAACCGAACCTTCCCTCGAACGCAAATGTTTCCTCGAAGAGAATGCAAACAGGTTCGATCTCCCCTCCCTCTCTCTGACTGTTCCGATGGTTCAGACCAGGAACCATACATGAATAATCCCTCTCAACAAAAAATTACTAATTTAACAAAAATAATAATTTGGTCACTCAATCCGCGGCTGTTTTAACGCTGCTGTGCGCAATTGGCTGCCGTGTTTCGCCCACGAAATATACAGTTAATTCACTTTACAGTATATATTCTGTGAAGCGCTTTGAGACGTCTCGAAGATGCTTCATCCACAATGAGGGAGGGAGGGAGAGCGTGAGCGAGAGAGAGGGAACGAGGGATCAGGCGCTGTATTAAATTCAAGGATTATAATTATTATGATGAATGCCGCTCACACACACACACACCAATCCTCTGAACACTTGTACTGAATACAATTAAGTATTAACACATTCTTTCACATGTTTCAGGTGTTGGTCAGGGTATGTGTGGGTGGGTGTAACAGGACTTTGTGGACACACTGGACATGGATAACTGGTCACTAGTCGGGCTGAGAACTTACCAAAGAAAAGTCATTCTGCAGGAACACGTTCAAGAGTAAAATGGTGATGAGGGGGACCCAGAAGATCAGAAAGGTCAGGATAATGTAGCCAAACCGTTTGCCTAGTTTTCCTTCAACCCTCTTCCTGGCGTTCTCTCGAGACCTGGCCGTGATGAGGCACACGGCGCCCACTATGTCAGGAGGGTCCGATGGGCCAGCCTGGGGGGACAAGGGCAGGCAGCCATCCAGCGAGGGAGACTGGGGCTTCTCCAGACCCGACACGGTCTCTCTCTCCAGCTGGAGCAGTTGGCTGCGGTTGGCTGGCAGTTGCATCACCCCACGAGTGGCTGCCTTGACGTGTCGATCACTCACTATTTGCCAGGCCGCCCCCGGCCCATCTTGCTCCTTGGGTGATGGCAAAGAGGGCATGATGCCACAGTCAAACACCTTATTCCTGTGCTGTCTCACCAGCCCATAGATCCTCAGGTAATGGCCGACGATAAGACTCAAGCTGGCCACCCAAACAGGCATCAGGATATAGGAGCCGAAGGGATCGAAGTAGCTGTGAGGGTCGATGGGGAGATGCCTGCACCTCACGTACACCGGAGTCCTCTTGGTGCAGGTCACGGACAAGGTGGACAAGGCCAGTCCCAGGGACCACACAATGGGGATCCACACCTTGACCCTCAGCCTCCTCTTGGCCATTTGGAAAGGAAAGGCGATGGCTTGGTAGCGCTCAACACTGATCACCACCAAGGTAAGCAGTTGGACACAGCTACTGAGAGAGTAAGTGAAAGGCTGTGCAAGACACAGGGCTTCCCCCAGGTCAGCTCTGCTGTTGCCCCACACGCTGGCCACCAGGAACAGGGGGATGTCCAGCAGGCACTTGAGCAGGTCATTGGCGGCCAGGTTGAGGAGCAGGGCGTTGTACGGGGTCTGCAGGTGCCTGTTGCTGTAGACCACCCAACCCACCACCGCGTTGCCAAAGACACCGACAGCAAACGTGCAGGCCAGCACCAGGCTGTTCCCTGCCAGGATCGCCGCTCGAAGAGGAATATAAACTTCAGGGGCGGTGTTGTTGTTAGGGAATAAATCCATGTGGTCCATCATTCCGAGTTGAGTCCCGGACCTGATCTCTCTCTCTCTCTCGCTCTCTGGCCGCTCTCACACACACTCTCTCCCCCTAGTCCTGTTCCCGCCCGAGATTCGCTGGGTGAAAGCGTTCTGATGCTGAACGCTACATTTCTCTCCTTCCTCTCGTTGCCGAGAGCTCACTCACTCAGTCACGTAACCACTTACTCTCTGTAATGATCGCTCACAGAGCAACTTTAACCCTTCCCTCTTCTCTTCCTCCGCAGGAGATAGCTACTGGCTAGTGAAGCGTGGAAATCTGAACACACACTGACATTGGAGGAGTTAAAGAAACCGTGTGTGTGTGTGTGGCGGGGGGGGGGGGAGGTTGGGAGAGAAGAGGGAGGGTAAGGAAAAAAATCACAGGTCCTTAATATTCAGTGTGGAGTGGCGTAACAGCCCCTCCCTTCTGACAAATCTCGGAAGCAAAATGATTTGCCGTCTAATTCAGTCACTCACTCCATCACGGCGTGTGGGACAGACACTGCTGTGTGCAATTGCCGCCGCATTCCGCTCCCAAGCCAGTCACTCCACTTCACAGCATGTTCTGTGAAGCACTTTGAGGCATCTTAATGATGCGATAAGCCGCTATCTCACACGCAAGGATTATTAATATCATTGTTAATTTTATTCCTGATTAATTGGGGTCGATATTTTTTGGCAAAGCGCCCCTCAAGCCGGGTAGCTGTTGAACAACGCCTAAGTGGGCGGCCGGGCGGGCAGTAAGGACCGGGAGGGTCGAAGGGTGGTCAGAAATAACCAAACTGCAAAACAAAAGCATCTCTTTTCAAGCCAGAATGAAATTAAAACATGCGATAATTTGGGTTAGCTCGCGTGTGTGGTTGCGTGTGCGTGTGTACGCACGTGTGTGTGTGTGACGTTGCTCTTCGGTGCTGGTTGAAACGTCTCATTCCATGGACCACACCTCAAACTACTTGCATTTACATAGCACCCTTCGCGTGGGTAGCAGTCAACAGACCGCTTTAGAGTAAAGTAGCTTGACACTGAGCTTGGGGGTGGGGGTGGGGGGGGTGGAAGGTGGGGAGGGGGGGGGTAAAGGGGGAAGGGAAGGGGTGTCCGAAGGCCGAAGAGGTGGTCGAGATTCTTAGCGAGGGCAGAGAAAGACATGAAAGACATCGGATCTTTTATTGCAACAGTTTATCTCGAAATGAACAAAAAAAAGAGAATTCACGCTCTTTCCCTGATCCCCCCCCCCCCACCCCACCCCCTCCTCCCCCACACGTCAGACAACCGACGTCAGGGCTTGAGCAGCTCAGTCAGATACACCGAGTTCATCTGATAGGCTCTGAGCCATCCGTCGCTGGCTGCTCTCGAGCCCGTGCAGTGCTGGTGCCAGGCCTGGTAATAGCTTCTCCAGTACTCGCTGTGCCCCCCCCGGCCCGTGGGCGGCCGCTGGTGCCGGTCGCTGTGAGGACCGGGCGCCGGTCGCTGCCTGTGCCGCTCGGCCCCGGGAATCTCCGCTCCGGCCCAGCCTTCGCTCCTGGTTTTCCGGCCCCCGCGCAGGGACCCCTCGCCCTCGGCTCCCTCGCCACGAGGCTCTGAGAGGGAGTCGGGGGGAGACCGGGTGTCGCCCCTGCTCTCCTCGGCGGCTCTGAGCCGAGCGGGGGCAGGGGGTGGGGTACGGGGAGGGGGAGGGGCACAGGGAGGGGGCTCCCGGCTGGGTCTCCCAGCAACGCCGGCCTTCCCGGGCCTCAGCTTGGCTGTGAGCTGCCGCTGGCTGGGAGCAGGTGGAATTGGCGGAGTCTCCTCCTCCTCCTCCTCGGGCGACGCCTCTCGCCCGCTGGACCGGCTGCTCGCGGAGTCGGACTCGGAGTCACTGGAAGGGTCACAGCCGGACCCCTGGGGTCTCACCCGCTTGCGGGGGGCGTAGAGCCTCAGGGCGTCGCCGCGGCTCAGAAACAAGGCCTCATTCTCCTCCCGGCCCATCAGCTCCAGGATCTCCACCTCCCCCTCCTCGGTCTCGCCCCCCCGGCCCGGGCCCCTCCACTGCTTGACCAGTTCCACCGGCCGCTGGATCCGCTCCCGCAGGAAGCGCTCGTAATCCTCCACGATCTCGATGAAGCTCTCCTCCCTCCCCCTGCGGCTGGCAGCCATTTTGAAGGCGGTGAGGGGCGGGACCTTGGGCAGGGCTTCCTGCAGAGCTGCCCTTTCCTCCGCCGAGATCTGGGACAACTCCCCCGCCTCCGGTCGGGATCGCCCCCCGCTCACCAGGCCCCTCGCGGCCAGAGCGCTCCCCACTTTCTCCCGGATGTGATCGGGGACGAGAGCTCCCGCCTGTCGCCGTCCCCTCCCGGCCTCGGCTGCCGGCACCTTCCTGGGTCTTGGGGGCCACTTGGCTGGAGGTTTGGCCGCGGTGCTGGTGCTGCTGTTGGGTTGAGGACGCCCCACGGGCGACTCGCGGTGCTTCACCGGCAAAGCGGGCTCGGCCTTGGCAAGAGCGAACCCCGAGGCGTCAGCGCCCGGCAAACCCTCCCCGCTCGGCACCTTCAACATCTCCGTGTCCCAATCCATCGCCTCGTCCAATAATCCCGAGGGAATGGGATCTGATGCGCACACAAGAACAACGGTGAAAAAGGCAGCGGAACATGGACCAAACAGAATCCTTCCCTAACCCACCCCCCGGCACAGCTTTCATTTGTGGGGGGGGGGGGACACACCCCCTAATGTGCAGTGACTTCCCATCCCTGTCCATCTCTCTCTCTCTCTCTGCAGACAAGGATTGATGAATATTCAGGTTATTTATTGTCTGGCTTTGGTTTGGTGACGACTCGTTTTTAAATCCATATAGAAATCCTGAATATCTATTTCGCCCCAAAATATACAGTCAATTAATTCACCAGTATATTCTGTGAAGCGCTTTGAGAAGCCTCAACTGTGTAATAAGGCGCCATCTACACTATTGGGACAAGGACACGTTGGCAATATCAGGTTCAGGTGTAAGTGCATGTCTGTCCTTGTGTGAACATGTGTCTCTCTCTCTCTCCCCTTCCCTACGGTTGATCGGTGCTGTATGTAACTATCTCATGCCGGAGACGGCACTATAATTCACGTCCGCCGTCACTGACCTGGCAAACGCACGAGCTGGAGGCAGCAACGCTGGGCGATCAGCCCCAATTCGTTCTCCTCCTCCCCACGGCAGCAGTAAGTCACAGCCAGACCGTGTGTACCTGCACAGAGATCAAGGCCAAGTTCTTATAGAGTGCAAGAGGACTGGGGAAGGGAAGCAAAGCTGTTGGGGGAACAGGATTTAGATTTAAAAGACAAGTGTTAAGTTACCGAAGCGGCCGGCTCTCCCAATCCTGTGCATGTACGTCTCCCAGTCCTGAGGGATGTCCAGGTTGATTACCAAGTTCACCTTTTCTGCGTCGATTCCTCTGGACGTCTGAACGAGACACAGGTCAGAACAGACACAACAACGTGCACCTGCGCCTTAATCCCTGCACGATGCGGGATCGGAATGTCTTGACGCAGTAATTGCCGTCAGGGGCAGCGACTGCGAATCTTTTGTAGGTAAAAGTGGCAGCAGACGGCTACGGCCTCAGCCACAGCCCCCAGACACCCGCCCCAACACTGCGTTGATTACGCGGGAACAGATCCGTGCACAATAAGTTGCAATAGCGAAGTGTTACCACTAGAGGGACGAGAGTGTCCTTTGTCACCAACCGCCCCCCCCGCCCCCCCAACTAGGAGCTGCAGCTAAATAATAATAATAATCCCGGCATCTGACACGGCGCCTGATCACGTCGTTGAGACGTCTCAAAGCGCTTCACAGGATACGCTGTAAAGTGGACCGACTGTGTGTTGTGTCGGGGAAACTCAGCAACCAATGAAAAGCAAGGGATTGGTGGGGGAGTGGAGGGTGGGGTGCGTGGGGGTGGGGGGGGGAAGCACAGACTTAGCTAACTCGGGCGCGGGGTCAGGACAAGTAAAGGTTTGCCCACCGAGCTCGGCCGGGATAGTGGGAGCGCAGGAAGATAAACTCACCAGGTCGGTGGAGATGAGCACTCGGCACTGGAACTGCTTGAGTTTGGCCATGGCTTCAAGCCTTTGGTTCTGGTTCATGCTGCCTGAGGGAGCGGGAAACTCAGGTCAGGGATCAAAAGGACAGAGAATAAAATTGTGTAAAATTACAGATAATAATAATCCGTGTATCTGGTCATAGCGCCTTATCACCGTGTTGTAGACGGCACAAAGCGTTTCACAGGATACGCTGTAAAGTGTGTATTTTGGTGGCGAAACGCGTAAATAATGATAGAGCCTTTCACACGTAGGGACCTGATGCGTTTCACACGAATTCACTGTAAAACAGTGACGGTGTATACTCTCTTTAAATCGTGAACCCTTGTTCAGTTGCGTTCAAGTAACCAACGTTACTAACCCCGACAGGGCAGCACACAGAGAGGGATGTGTACGTACCTGAGATACAGACAGCGGGGAGGCCTTTGGAGGTGAGAATGTCTGCCAGGTGCTGGGCTCTGCGGAAACAGGAATTCACTCTCGTCTCAAGCAATTCCGATACATTTACTAAACAAACTCAAAAACACTGTAATCAGAGATTGTTTTTAAAAAATCAATAATATTAAAAAGAATAAATGTTGGCGAATATTCTAAGACACTATCGGAAAAGGAGGAAGAGTTTCTCCCAGTGGCCACACAATCCTCACTCCTCACGGTGTGTGTAGTGTGTGTGGGACCTTGCTGTGGGCGCCAAACAGCTGCTGCGTTCACCTAATTAACAGCACTTACTGTGAAGCACTGCGAGACATTTCAATGGCATTAAAGTTATAAAAATGTAGTTTTGTTTCTATCCCAACCTCACGGGAAGTGCGTGCAGACAGCAACACGAAGCACACCGACTGGTACCTGCTGTGCAGATTGGAGAAGACCAATGCCTGGTTGAAGGGGACTTTGCTGAACAGTTCCAGTAAATGTTGCACTTTCTCCTCAAAGATCTTGTGGGGAAGTGGATAGGAATTTACAATCTTGTAAAACTGCTTCAAGCCTGTCAGAAAAATGAAGAGCATCACTGTCTCTCGCTCCGACCCATTCGCAAAGCTCTCCCAAGTACCTACCTCGTCTGACTGGGGTTTAAAGACTATGTCTCACTCTGTCTGTTCCCATTCCCTGAGCTGGACATCAAACCTTTACCCAATACCTCAGTCTCCTGGGACTCTTTCCCCAAAGTTTTGCCTCCCTAAAGACCAATCAGCCACCCCCCCATCTCTTGCTCCTTTCACTGTAGTCCAATTGTTCACAATCTTCTGCTACGTGCAAAGCAAACTATATTCTCTAGTTTGAGTGTTCTGCTGCTATGCCCTGAAAGTCTGGAACACTCTCGCTCATTCCCTCTGCCTTGCCCCCTCCCTCCCCATCTTCAGGTCACCCCTGAAGACCTTCCTCTTCTACCGAGCTTGCGGTCACCTCCCCCCGGCTCAGTGTCAGGCTCCCCCACTGTTAAGCGCTCCCTGCAAGTTTTTGTTGTTTAAACACCACATGATTGCCAGGCGGGTATGAACTCACCTATAAGGGCTGGATCAGTCGGATTGAGGCGGATGAAAGTAGGATCCCTCATGTACCTGGTTAAATGCTGGGCCAGACACTCAGGGTACGTGGCTGACAAGGCCAACATCTGTTTGTTCACAGGCAACGAGGAGTAAATCCAACTGAAGCGAAAAGAAAAGCGGCTTAAAATCAAATGCAAGAAAGACCCATTGAATTGACGTGTAGTTTATATGCTGGACTTTCTATGTGTATATTTAGAAAGACTACAGCGCCTTAACACATCGTTGAGACGTCTCAAAGCGCTTCACAGGATATATTGTAAAGTGAATTGATTCTGTGTTTTAGTCCTTCTCACCAGCACTGCCAATGAGCACACAGTGTGATGGCAGTTTTATGGGGCAGTTTAATTCAGTGGAATGAAATTTTGAGCAAGTTCGACTCGATTCAGATGCTGCTGTAGGTGGTGCTAGGACACGGATTGCTCCAGGGCGAGACTCACTTGATCTGCTCCTGGAAGCTGCCCTCCTCCAGCAGTTTGTCCGCTTCGTCCAGTACAAACAGGCGGATGCCAGCCGTCAGCAGGTAACCGATCTCAATCAGCTGCTTGATCCTACCTGTGAGAGAGAGAGAGAGAGAAAGAGAGAATTAAATTGGTGGATCAACTTAGATGTGAACTCAAAGCACAGAAGCAGAGCTTGAACCCCCACCTTTAGGACCTGGAGGTCGGTGACCTCCTGAACATGAGCAAATCTGGTTTTCTCAATGGGTTTTTGTTGGAAAGTCTTTCTTGCGTTTGATTCTAAGCCCCTTTTCGCTCCACTTACCCGGGGACCCCACAGCAATGTGGCATTTCTTCAAGCGCATTTTGTCCAGGGTTAGCGGCGTCCCCCCGATAAACACATGGCACTCCAGTCCCTCGATTTTTATGCCGATGGCAGTAATGACGGAATGGATCTGCACGGCGATTTCTCGGGTTGGGGCGAGGACCAGGACCTGCAAGAGACACAAGTCACTAACGCAGCAACAGCACCAACGACCAGAAACCAAAGCTGAAAGAGGAGTGGGTCGAGATCAGGGAGAAAACTGCACAGGGTTTGCACAGGGCACTTGTTGTTGTTCTTGTTGTTGTTCTTGCTTTGCTTTGCAGTCGTTTGCTCTCACATAACAAACACGACAAACCCAAGAACAAAAAAATGACAACAAATGAATGCCAAAGAGACAGCTGTTGCTGAAACTAACCTGCGTTGCTGGGTTTTCTAGAATGAGCGAGTCCAGGGCAATGGCTGAAAACACACAGGTTTTCCCAGTCCCAGATTTCGCCTGCACGATCAGATCTGAGGAGAGATTTGAATGCGTAAGAAACTACAGCCGAGCACCGTCTTGTCCACCCGATCCAACCGCAACTTCCCCGCAAGTACAGCTTCCAGCCCGGGGTCAGGGGGTGGGCGAGGACGGGGTGGTGGGGGGGGTGGGTGGAGGCAACCGCGATGGCTTTTAATAGGGAATCCTCGCTGTAAAAAAGAACAGCGAACTCGCACGAGCGCAGCTGTGAATTATCCCCACAAACAGACCGCGAAGTGACCGACCGATAGACTCTCAGTCGGGACAGGCGGGAGATTTTTCCAAAGCGCACCAGGAGGTCCTCGGGAGTCCGGCTGAGCGGGACCGACAGGTGGGGGCTTGAGTTTCGAAACGCTTGGGCCCGAAGGGGCAGCGACTGACTTGACAAAATTGGGTATTTTTTTGGGGGGTGGGGGCGGGGAGGAGGGGGGGGGGGACGAGTTCGCTGCCGCGGCCCTGAGCTCGGCCACAAAATAAAAGGAACGAAAAGACAATAACATCGTAAAATAAAACCAGACTCGGGGTCACCACGAGAAACAAACACAGTCATCGACCCCCAAACCCCCCCCACACCTCCTCACACCCAACACAACAGGGATCTCCAGTAACAGGGTCTGGGGTGACACATGTCGCTCCCCCGAGACGAGGGGCCTAATGGGGGGGGGGCGGGGGGGAGATGCTCGGCTCCAGCACACAGATACCCGCTAGGCCTCAGGCCTCGGCCTCACCTAGCCCGCACCTCCCCAGGGGGATGGCCTTGAGTTGGATGGGCGACGGCCGCTCGAACCCGGCGTCCCGCAGCCCCCCCAGCACGGGCTGCGACAGGAGCAGGGCCGCGAAGTCCACGCTCTCGCTCAGCAGCACATCCCCGGTGCGAGGCCTCTCGTCGATGCGGTGAGCGGCCTTGCGGGTGGCCAGCGCCATCTTGGTAAAGGCGCTTCAAAGCCCGCGCACGCGCGCGCGCGCAGCATTATATAGGCGCCGGGCGCCATCTTGGCAAAGGAGCTTCGGCCGGAGGTCCGCGCCATTTTGGTAAAGAGGTTCCCGGGCGCCATCTTGCTGAAGGAGCTCCGGCTCCCTGCGCGCAGCTTTAGACGGGCGCCATCTTGGTAAAGGAGCCGCTTCGAGACGAAATCGCGGACAGCCCGGCAGGTTCTCGCGAGAGGATAACGGGAGGGAGGGAGGGAGAGGGGGGGGCTACAGTTACCATGGTGACGAGACCTGGTCCAGGGGAGCATCCTGCATCTCTACCCCGAGGCCGAGACACTGTGCAGCCACAAGCCCGAAACCACTTGCCTGTTTGGTTTTGAAGACGCAGTTTTGTTTGCCCACTTTGGTGAAATGCGCTATATCGAATGCGACGATTGCTATTATTATTATTATTATGTGGATAGAGATTTTGCCCAGAAAGTACACCGACAAATTCACTTGACAGTATATTCCGTGAAGCGCTTGGCGACGTCTCAAAGATGTGATAAGGCACTGTATCAAATGTAAAGATTATTATTAGTAGTATTATTATAAAATGCCTCAAGTGACACCCAGAGTTCTGTGCGAGTGAAGCACAATGAGCAGTCTCTTCACATCTCCCTGGGATGAATCTGCAACTCAGCCGAGAGGATGCTTTATTACACGCTCTTGTGCGTATTTGCCTTGTCGATAACGACACAGGTCAGAGGCTAACCAGACATGCAGAGAAAAAGTGATGGGTTACCTAGAATTTGCGAGGTGTCCATTTGCGTGATGAATGGGGTGATTTATTCTCCCATTTCAAGGGCTGATATGATTCCTTTGCCGAACAGAGAATTCATTCGTCATAAGAGTTTGAAGACCGGCGGCTCTGCCCATTATCACACACAAAGCTCAATCAATAATCGTCTGGTTTGACGCGCGGTTCATTATCGGACCAGTGAGGTGTGGCAGCATAGCACGCAGGAATCATTTTAATGTCAGGAATGTGTTTGGTAACTGGCACAGTGTCGCTGGATGATAAATCTTTCTCTTCTGTGGATCAGTCTATCAATCTCCTTCTCTCTCTGTCTCCCTTTCTTTCTGCGTTTTAACATATCTTCTGGGTATTTTGCCCACAAAATATACAGTCAATTCACTTTACAGTGAATTCTGTGAAGCATCTCGAAGACGTGATGAGGCGTTATAACAAATGCAAGGACTATTATTATTACATTTTCTTTTAACACATTGCTCAAGAATATTCTATTTCAGCCAGATATAAAGTATATCTGTGTTCTGTTTCTGTGCCCATCAAATCACCTTAATGATTGCTGGCATTTTCTCTCCTGCTTTGCTGTAGGCAATGTCTTTCCACTCCATAAAGCAGCTAGAAACATTAGCCGATACTAAAAGTCCCATGTTATATAAGTACAAGATGTTGTTATAATAATAATCCTTGCATTTGATACAGCATCTTACACATCTTCAAGGTATTTCAAAACGCTTCACTGAATTTACTGTAAGGTGAATTGACTGTGTATTTTGTGGGCGAAACGCAGCAGCCAATTCCACACAGCGACGTCCAACAAACAGTCGTGGATTGAGTGACCAAATTACTATTATTTTTTAACTGTAGGGGTATCACAACACAGCTCCCTGCTGTTTCCAATCTAGCCTAAACCTGATATTATGTCCTGCACTGAAGTTCTCTGCCTCAAACCCAATTCTGTGTTTCAGAGTAAGCTTTGATGTTGCTGCTAAACCTGAATTGGCCACAAGAGGACAGTGCCAAGTCTTCGGAACAGTTTTGCGAGCAAAATTGTGATAATTTCCTTCATACTAATTCACGCAAAAGTCCTCAATAGTCAATAAGCAATTGGGGAAGTCGGGATAATAATCCTAACAATAATCCTTGTATCTGATGTAGCGCCTTGTCACGTCATCACAATGTCTCAAAGAAGCTCCGAAGAGGATATGCTGTAACGTGTAGTGACTGTGTTTTGCAGGCGAACGCAACAGCCAATTCGGGCGTGAGATTTGGGGCTAGAGGAAGACTATTTTGGAGTTAGTATTTTGGATCACATTTTGGGATAAGGACATCTTCCCAAGAGATAGAACGGGCGCAGTGACTGATGACCTATGTGGTGTGGGCGAGGAGTGGGTGTAGTGCGCTGAGTGACTTTTCCCTGCTCTCTGTTTTCTTCATGCTTAAAGAAGCTGGGATGTTTACATGGCTTCATTTATTATTAAAATGTTTTCAATTACGCTGAGACCCACCGTCAAGATGTAATGTGCCATTCATGTGAAATGTCACGAGTTGGCATTTTTATTTATACCCCAAAGAAATTTCGAGGATGCTTTGGCACACAAAAAAAAGATGGGATCTTGTGACAACTTGTATTTACACAGTGCCCTTCACACGGGGCAGGGTCTAGGAGCGCTTAACAGTAGTGGAGCTTGATGCCGAGCCAGGGAGAGAGATGGAGGTGACTGTAAGCACGGTCGAAAGAGGAAAGTCGTTCGGTCGTGATCCAAAAGCACATTATAACACGAAGACGACTTGCGTCAAAGCAAACCACAAAAGCCTTACAACCCGCGCTCCATTAAACATTTCACCTCCCTCGCCCGACCGAGCACTGGAACGGCAAACGGACAGGCGATCAAAAAGTGGTCCTGGAAAGTTAGAAAAAAAAATGTCTTTTTCTTTTAAAAAAAAATAAAATAAACCCCAGAAGGAGACGGATCGCATTACCGCCCGGAGGGAGGGGAAAGGCATCAGAAGGATAAAACAGAGAGGAAATATCTGAGGGGAAAAGGGAATCAATAGGACAATGCTGAGGGTAAGGAAATTTGATCTCAGGCTGTTTCTATTCATAACTCGGGCTAAGAGAGGAGAGCTGCTCATTGGATGTCAGGACTCCAGCCCTCTTCACCCTGACTCACACTCCCTCACTCACTCACACTCACTCCATCCCCACAGTCTGGCACATGTACACGTGGACCATGTTATTTCCTCCCCATTCCCACCTTCCCACTCTCACACACTCTCATTAAAACCCACTCACACGGTTTAACTTTTCCTGTGGACACAATCCGCAGTGATGGAGAGGAGGAACATGGACAACAGCCTTCGTCGCTTGAGGCAGGAATTGGTAAGTAAGACTTTTTTTTCTTTTGCCTTCATCGGCATCGTCATTTGATTTGATTTTTGCTTCATTTTTTTTTCACAAATGAAATTGTATTTTTTTTTCAAATGCGAGTTGGTAGGACTGTGTCGCTTTGTGTTATTTGAATTTTGTTTTTATATCATTTTATTTTTATTGTATTTCAAAAAAAAAGCCTTTTGCATTTCCTGAAAAAATCCATGTAAACCTCTCTGCATCTATTTATGTGTGTGTGTGTGTGTGTGTGTGTGTGGAGGAGTGGGTGGGGGAGAGATTGGTTTATTTGAATAAAAAAAAAGTTTTATTATTATTCCTTTATCTTTTTTTATTTAATCAATCACTTTCCAAGTTCAATGGGTGTGTGTGTGTGTGTGGAGGGGGGGGAAGAGGGGGCATTTCCGAGCAAAGTGATGTGTTTTTAGGGGGAGTTTTTTTTTGCACCAAATACACACACACACACACACGTTATATATAAAGGGGAGAGTGTGTGTGTGTATCTGTGAGTGACTCAAATTGGGAAAAATCTTATATTTTAATCTTTTTTGAAAAATTTAAAAAAGAAATAAAATTCACATTTGTTTTTCACTCCCCTCCAGCCGAGCCTTTTTGCATCATTTGCTCTCCCCCCGCACCCCCCACCTCCCCACCGAACACGTTTGCGAATCGCTTGTGATGACAGAAATTCGCTTGTGAGCACTTTATCCTTATCCCGTTTCCCCCTCCAACAAAAAAGCTTATTACCTCTTATTAACATCAGTCAATGCAAAACATAAAGGGCACATACTACATACACCACATACACTACAAACACACACCACACACACATACACACACAAACATACATGCCCCCCCACACACACACACACATACACACACACAAACATACATGCCCCCCCACACACACACACATACACACACAAACATACATGCCCCCACACACACACACACATACACACACACAAACATACATGCCCCCCACACCCCCACACACACACATACACACACACAAACATACATGCCCCCCCCACACACACACACACATACTCACACAAACATACATGCCCCCCCCCCCCACACACACATACTCACACAAACATACATGCCCCCCCCCCACACACACAGAGTATAATCACAGTTGCGCTGTGTTTCCTCTGAGGGATGTGAATATAAATGATATAAATAGCCCAGAGTTTGCTGTCCGGTTGAGTGCATTGTCTGTGAGTGCAGAAACGTGTTAATAATCAGTGCCTTTACACAGTTCAGTAAAGTCTGAACAAAAGATACCAAAGACACCAGAACCGCTTCAGCACAGAAACCCCACAAACATTCTCTCCTCTTAATACACATCCTCACACCCCCCGTCCCACACACACACACATACATACACACACACACATACATACACACACACACACACATACATACATACACATACATACACACACATACACATACATACACACACACACATACATACTGACACATACACACACATACATACACACACACATACATACACACACACACACACACACATACATACACACACACACACACACACACATACATACACACACACACACATACATACCCTCACACTCTCTCTCACACACTCTCCCTTTATATACTGTGCACTTACTCTCATATACACTCATACACAATGCATACAGTCTATTTGATATACACCCTCTGTGTGTGTGTGAGTGTGTGTGTGAGGGTGAGTGTGTGTGTGAGTGAGTGTGTGTGTGTGTGAGTGTGTCTGTGAGTGTGTGTGTCTGTGTGTGTGTGTGTGTGTGTGAGTGTGAGTGTGTGAGTATGTGAGTGAGTGAGTGTGTGAGTGAGTGTGAGTGTGTGAGTGAGTGTGAGAGTGAGTGAGTGTGAGTGAGTGTGAGTGAGTGAGTGTGAGAGTGAGTGTGAGAGAGTGTGAGTGTGAGAGTGAGTGAGTGTGTGAGTGAGTGTGAGAGTGTGTGAGTGAGTGTGTGAGTGAGTGTGAGAGTGAGTGTGAGTGAGTGAGTGTGAGTGTGTGAGTGAGTGTGTGTGAGTGTGTGAGTGAGTGTGAGTGTGTGAGTGAGTGAGTGTGAGTGAGTGTGAGAGAGTGAGTGTGAGTGAGTGTGAGAGTGAGTGAGTGAGTGTGAGTGAGTGTGAGTGTGAGAGTGAGTGAGTGTGTGAGTGAGTGAGTGTGAGTGAGTGAGAGTGAGAGTGAGTGTGAGTGAGAGTGAGTGTGAGAGTGAGTGTGAGTGTGTGAGTGAGTGTGAGTGTGAGAGAGTGAGTGTGAGTGAGTGTGAGAGTGAGTGAGTGTGAGTGTGTGAGTGAGTGTGAGTGTGAGAGTGAGTGAGTGAGTGTGAGTGAGTGTGAGAGTGAGTGACAGCTGATTCCAACCTCAATGTACACCGACAGCGCAGTGAGTTGCACACCGCGGGCAGTGCCGCTCTGATAAATAAGAAATCATCAGCTCATTCCGGTCCATATCCTCAGTCAGTCTCTGACAGAGCGGCGCAGCGCTGTCCCAGTCCTGGTGCAGTGTTAATGCTTATTAAAGGGCTATCGTGAGTGGATTGGGGGGGTGTGGGGGGGTGGGGGGTGGGGGGGGGTGTGGGGGTGGGGGGGGTTTGTCCCTCTTGTTCCAAATGGTTTGGGTTTGGGATGAAGTGAATTCAGTCCCACCCCCCCACACACACACACACACCCCACCACACCCCCCCACCACCACACCCCCCCCCACACACCCCCCACACCACCCCCCCCCCCCCACCCACACACCCCCCCCACCACACCCCCCCCACACCCACCCACCCCACCACACCCCCCCCCACACACACAACCCCCCCACCACCACACCCCCCACCCCACACCCCCCACACACACCCCCACCCCACCCCCCCCCACACACCCCCCTACCCCACCCCCCCCACACCCCACCCCCCCCCCCCCACCACACCCCCCCCCCCCCCCCACACCCACCCCCTTTGATGGGTAAGACATGAGTTGTCAGTCACACCATCTCATTAAAATCCACAGCTCGTGTCTGAGCAGCTCATTGGAGTCGCTTATTTGATGGGTGTTCCTTTGTCGCCAATCTGCAGCACATTTGTGTGGAAGCTCTAACAGGGGGAGGGAAAGATTTCTTTTAAATAACACCGAGGAGCAAAAAAAAATAATGTTTAGAGCAGAATTCTATTGTCATTAAAACAAAGGTAAGATTATAACTGGGGGCGGGAGGGGAGAGGGATGGAGCTGTTGTTGTGGTCTGATTTTGTGTGTGTGTGTGTGTGTATTTATTTTGCAATGCCTGAAAGGTTTATTTGATGTTACCGTATTGAGTCCATATCGATTACTGTATAAGCAATAAATATGCTTTTTTAACACACCAGATAATTATTTGATTGAAGAAAAACCGAGAGGAATTATCAGATGAATTTCGCTCCAAAAATACAGTCGATTCACTTGACAGTATATTCCGTGAAGCGCTTTGAGACGTCTCGAAGGCACGATAAGGCGCTGTATCAAATGCAAGGATTATTATCATTATTTATTATAATTTGCATTCAGCTTGTCAGCATCCCTCTTTTCTAAAATAATAATAATAATATTCATGCTGTTATTTGTGTTTTCAAAGTAAAATATTTGCTGTACAATATGGGGCAGTATATTTTTTCAGGGTGTAAAGTAATGTGCAGAGCCCAGCGCATGGCCGGGGACAGTTCAAAGAGCAGGTTATTAAGTGAAATGAGTAGCTACAGTCTTCTACAAACTCTTCAAAAAATAATAATTTGGTCACTCAATCCACGGCTGTTTGTGGGGACGTCGCTGGGCGCAATTGGCGGCCGGGTTTCGCCCACAAAATTCACAGTCGCTCCACCTTACAGTGTGTCCTGTGAAGCGCTTTGAGGCGTCTCGGAGACGTGATACGGCGCTGGGTCAAATGCGAGGATTATTATTATAATCAGCGACTGACTGATGGTGTAACGTGTGCAATTAACAGCAATCTATGAAAGAAGCTGGTGACGGGCTACAGCAGCAGATGAACTGTATGATGGGAGCTCTGCAGGAACTTAAACTTCTCCAGGTCCAGACAGCTTTAGAGCAGCTGGAAATCTCAAACAACCAGAGCCAGACCCAGAGCCAGAGCCAGAGCCAGGCTCCATCCATCATCACCCAACACCAACCATCCAGCAATGGAAGAGACCAACAAGAGCCCAAGAGGAGCCCGGGGATGGGAGCCAAGCTGGAGAGGCAAGGCTGGAAACCCAGGAACATAATCGGTCACTCCAACACCCACTTGACCAACACAGGAGGTCCTCAGACTATCAGTGAATGGTTAGGAGAGTATTTCAAGCAATCATCGTCTCGGGAGGTCCAACCTTTAGTAACTCCCCCGGCCTCACAGGATTATATAATTCCTCCAAGAGATAAACTATCTCCATCCGAGGGGGACTTGGGCAGAGAACCGCAGGCTCGTGTTCCCACCTCCGCAACTCGGAGCTTCCCAGTGGAGAGCGGTCTGAGGATCAGGTCAACCCAAGGTCAGGAGGAGGACTCCAATGACTGGACTTCTTCTCTGCTGTCCCAAAGCAGAACCAGACAGCCACTGATCCTGGGGGACAATGTCTTCGCTGACTTGGTCGGCAACTGGTTGGACTTGCCCGAGATGGAGAAGAGACATCCTTCCTCTTCCCAGCAAGGAGGAGGAGGAGGAGGGGGTGTTGGTGGGAGAGCAGGACAAGCCAACACTGTCCCGGCCCTCAGCAGGTCCCAGGATCTGCAGAAGAAGCTCAGTCTGACCACTAACATCTTCAAGAAGCTCTTGAGGAGCGTCAGGTCAGATAAGGACAAGCTGTTGAAGGACAAGCCGGGGAGGAGGGAGGAACCGTCATCACCAAACGTTCCAAGAAGGCTTCCGTCCCCAAAATGACTTTCTACTTTGCCCTGAGGGGGGGCAGCGCTCAGCCAGGCCGGGGGGCTGAGATCCTCGGCTGCGGCAGGACGTCAGGACCAGACCAGAAACTTCAGCCCATCGAGTGCGCAGACAAATTGATGTCGCCCATTGATGTCAAACGTTCTTCCTTTGACTACAGCACTGTGGTCTGGGTGTGACAGTCACAGGCAAAGGCTCAAACTCTTTTTTTTTATGCACTTAATTTCTCTTTCATTGTCCAGTGACTCCCTCCCCTCTCTCCCCACTCCACACACTTCCCCTCCCCTCCGCACACACACACACACACACTAGAATGGGATTAACCCACACACATGTGCACAATACCAGGGTTACCTTGGTCTAAACAAGTGACTAAAGGCTCTCTATATAATGTACCGGTCGTTGGAAATGATCCCATTGTGTCGGTTCGAGTTGGCAATTCAATGCTACAGTTTTTTTTCTTAGGCGCAAAAGGTGCGTCAATGTCATTGTTTGACTGTAAATACAACGAGGAACAATTTGTGAAGAGTTTGGGGGTGTTTTAGACGTCTGTAGTTGTGTTGTGAAGTGTTCAGTGGTGAAGTGTTTCCACCCTGGTGTTGAGTTGTTGTGTATGAGGAGTGAGGAACGTCAACGTGAATAAATGTCACTGTGTCACAGTGAGACAAGGTCTCATTTGTAAATAAGAAAACGTTCTTTTGACATTCGTTTTGGGTTTTTTTTGTGAATAAAAATCCTTACATTTTGATACAAAGACTGAAAGGTCCCAAGGAGCCTCCCAGGCAATTGCTATCAAGGGGGGACAGGAGACTGGGTGGGGGGTGGACTTGATTGACACCTCAGTCATACAACCACTTGACTTTGCCTAGAATGAGAAGGACTGAGCGATAAGGTCACTGAAGCTAAAACATCAGGTCCTATCTTCAAATCCAGCTCAAAGGGAATGGGATGCTCCCTCCCTCTCCCTCTCTCTCTTTCTCTCCTTCTCCCCATCTTTCTCCCTCTTCTCTCCTTCTCCCCATCTTTCTCCCTCCCTCTCTCGCCTTTTCCTGTGGCTGTCTCTGGCTAACACTGCCCTGTTTTGTTCAACCAACAGGTGACTGACTTGTTTGTGGCAACAATTCCTACGGCCCTGGAATTTTCCACTCGTTTCTCCCGAACACGCCATCGATTCCTCTCGACCTCTATTCTTTGTCGTCAAAACTCACCTCCTCCTTTAACTCATTCTTTCCCAGGACTTAAAGGATTCTGAATCACTCCTACACTCTACAGGACTCCTCACCTCCCTCCCTCCCTTCCTCACTCTTTCCTTCCTCCTACACTCTACAAGTTTCAACCATCCAAGCCTTAGTGGCACCTAGTCACCAGCATTATTATTATTATGATCATTATTATGATTATCAATAATAGGTTTAATATTATTTTTATTAAGACCATTGGATGTGTGGGCGGTTCGCCCTCCAAATATACAGTCACTACACTTGTCAGTGTAGCGCTTTGAGATGCCTCAAAGGCATGATAAGACGCCGTATCAAATGCAAGGATTATTATCATTATGATTATTGTTACGATGATGGTTATTGAGCACTTCACCTCACTGGTTGGACAAAGGAAAGATATCCCAACGGCCGTAACCATTTGAGAGCAAAACCCCTGAACTCCGTTCTGGACCAAACTCAAACCACGAGTGACCAGTGACCTGGACCCTTCCTCCTCCCCCACAGTCAGGGGTCAGGGATATATTTACTGTGTGGAGTGACGGGGGGAAGAGTTGGGAGGGGGGGTTCTGACTGCTCAACTGCGGAGCTTCAGTGTAAGACAATCCACACCACATGCCTCTTTAACTCCACTTCCCCCAGCTGTCATCTCCACTGCTCACTTTACGCTTTGATGGAGCTCCGGCGGAGAAAGCCAACTGGCCCCTCTCTCTCCCCCCCCAGGAGGGACTCGAGCCCCCACTCATCACCCCGACAGCTGCCTCCTCCAGTCGACAGCAAACCCTGGAGCTCAGTGTTAGAGCCCTCACCTCACAAGCGAGAGGACCCAGGTTTGATTCCCGGCTGCGACGGGACAGGTCGAAACCTTTCCTTACTCCACACACACTCGCCTCTTGTTTACTGAGCAGTAAATAGGAACCCGGTTGTTAGTCGATTGGCAGATCGCTTTCCTGGGATAATAATCAATTCAAAATGATAATAATAATAATAATAATTTGGTCAGTTGCAACACCTCTCCCACCCCCCCATCTCCCACCCCCATCAATAACCTACTGTGGCCTCATGTGATGAATAACCTTGAGTCTGACCAGCAATAAGATGGACAACGGGTCGGTCCTTACACAGGGATGGGGAGCTGTGTGTGTGTCCGCGTGTGTGTGTGCGTGTGTGCGTGTGTGCGCGTGTGTGTGAGATGGCTGTGAGATGTCAGAGTCTGTCCCCAGTAAAATCCTCCAATTAATCTCACACTGACATTGCAGTAATTATTTGCTTTTAATAAACGCAGTGTCAGAATGGCTGGGGCTGGCTTTCCCGGGAGGTGCTGTGGAGACTCAGTGTCAAGTTGCAGGTCGGAGACAGACGGGCTGATCGGCGTCTGACTAAAAGCGCTCCGCGGGAAACCCAATTAAAGCCCGAGCCCAGGACCACTGTAGCACCTTCATTGTCACCCGTCAAATGTTCGTCCATTCGTGGACTCCCGTAGTGTAGTGGGTGGAGCCCTCGCCTCACAAGCCAGAGTATCTGCGTTTCGATTCCCGGGCAGGTCAGGGAGAAATGTTGGGCAAGTTTCCTTACTCCACACACACACACACAGACCCAGTAGTGAGTAGGAACCCGGTTGTTAGTTGATTGGTGGATCACTTTCCGAGGATAATAATAATAATAATTTGGTCCCTCAGTCCATGGCTGTTTGTGGGGACGCTGCTGTGTGAAATTTATGTCCCTAAATTATTAAGGACATAAGAATTTGGCGCCTGAAGACCGAGGTCCATCTTGATGGCTTTCCACCATCCTGACAGTCGCTTGACATGTCGCGCCCCAAACTACACACTGTCTCCCCCAGATATTATTTTCTAACAGGAACCTCGTTTGTTCTTGCTTTCTCCTGACTGAATATTTGAGGAGACGGATGTCAGGGAGATGTGGCTTTAGTCTCCGCACAGTCAGAGATGCAGGATTTAGATTTCACACCTGCTGATGAAGAGAGAGACTTGGATTTCATCAGATTGAACGCTCTCCTCAGGGTAACTAACGGCAGACATTATTAATTAGAAGAAAATGTCAGTCACGCTCAAAATTAATTATATCTCGGCTGGAATCCTCCCCGTTGTTCCCTTCAATGCTTCACTGAAATAATTAATTCCATATTTAAGGTGTTTGTACGTGGGATGGGTCAACATGGAGGGAGGGGTCCAGCTCGCCTGAGGGAGAGAAGGAAACAGAGAGAGTGAAAGAGAGAGTCACAGAGACAGACAGAAAGAGAGAGTCCAAGAGACAGAGAGAGACAAACAAGAGGGTGGGACCCAGAGAGAGGAGAGAAAGAGAGGGAGATACAGACAAGAGAGACGAGAGACAGAGACCCCGAGAGAAAGAGACTGAAAGAGAAAGAGAGAGAGTGCGCGCGAGAGAGAGGGAGAGAGAGAGGTATTGTGGACAGACTTGCTGTCACTGTAAATGCACTCAGTGTAAGATGTCTCAGACGAGGACGGCAGCTGCTGGCTGTGGGTGTCTGGGGCTGTCACTGCGACTGTGTGGCTGTAGCCGACGATGTTCCCTGAGCAGATTCAGGCTGCGTTTCCCCCTCTGAGCAGCAGCTGCAGAGTAATTGGCCTTTGATATCAGCCCGGGCTCCGAGCCACCTCGTCCCAGCCCCCGACTGACTCCCTGCAAACTGCTCGGCTGTTGAAACAAGTCTGAGTGCAACTCGCCTCGTTTGCCTACACGACGCCCAGTCACTACACTTTACAGTGAATCCCACGAAGCGCTTTTGAGACGTTCCCACAACGTGAAAAGGTACTTATAACAACAACAACAAGAACAACTTGCATCGTTATAGCATTGCTCACACGCGGCAGCGACTCAGAACAGTCTTTACCAAGTGCGGGGATTGTAATTATTATTAACATCAGATCCATGGGATCAGCCACACACACACACACACACACACACACACAAGCTCCTGATGGACAAACGATTATCTGGGAGGAACCATTCGGTCGCTAAGCAAACCACAGCAAAACAACGTTTAAAATAAGTAACAGAGAAAATTCCCAAACGGGGAAACAAAAATCCGGGGCCGGATTGGGAAAGAGCGGGTGAGAGAGAGGGAGAGAAGGAAAAGAGAGAGAGAGGGAGAGGAAAGGGAGGGAGGCGTGGATTGTGTCAAATACACAGCTCCAGGAGCTACAGGGTTAATGGTTCATTGGTACAGAATAGCCAGTGAAAGCTCCGGGACACAGACAGACAGAGAGAGAGAGAGAGAGAGAGCGCAGTGGGATATTTGTGCTGACTCCGTGTTTAATCCCAGTGTAGTCAGTCTGAAACATTTATCAGGTGCAAATCTCTGACAGGACAAAGGACCTGAGCCGCACTGAAGCCAAACGGCAACAAAAGAGCATTGTCTGAATTTGCCATCAGAAATGTGACGTAAATGCCCTTTACAGTATATTCTGTGGGCGAAACGCAACAGCCAATTGTGCGCAGAAGTGTCCCACAAACAGTCGTGGACTGAGTGTCCAAATGTTTTCTTTTGGAGGGATTATTACCCACAGAAAAGTGATGTCCCCAATCAACTAATGACCGGGTTCCTACTCACTGCTGGTAAACAGAGGCGTGTGTGTGTGGAGTAAGGAAACTTGGCCAATGTTTCGCCCTGACCCGTCCGGGGATCAAACCCGGCTCCTCTCGCTTGTGAGGCGAGGGCTCTAACCACTGAGCTACAGCACTCTACGTTCGCCTATAAATACACAGTCACTACACTTGGCAGGGATACGCCGCAAGGCGCTTTGAGACATTTCAGCGATGCGTATCAAATGCAAGGACTATTATTAGGGTTGAGCTGTTGAGTCGCCTGGTATGAGGGTCACTGGGCACTGCCGGTTCCTGATGCCATCAATACCGTTTCCCAACCTCTCAGGATTCTTGGGAATGTCCCAAAATAATCCCTTCCTGTCCCGGCTCCTGGGAAACCTGGGAGGCCGGGTAACGAGACAAGGATCTCGCCTGTGTTCACAGGAGTGAATATCTTCTCTTGTCCCCACTGCTGGGATCCTGGTAGGTACCGTGTACCGGACCTTGCTG